GACCTATAATGTTGCTAGAAAGGCTGAAGGATCATATGAAAAAGTGGTTGGGATTAGACATTAGTAAAGAGATGCTAAAATTACACTGTGTAACTATCAATGGCCAGATATAGTAAAAATGTTTCAAAGAACTGAGTGACAAAAGGGTAAGGACCTAAAAAAATCTATGGAGAGAGGTGCAACATGTCTATTTGGGAAGAAACAAAGAAAAACAGAAGCCAAAGGCTGACTGTTAACTCTGACAATCCACACTAATAACGGTGGACATGGACACGTGTCTGGGAAATCACGGTCCAAATATAAGGAAAACAAATGCTATCAATATAAGGAAAAGGAAATTTTCCCTCTTAAAACTGAAGCAGAAATGATAGTCCTCATGACTTTCAGTGAGGATGGAGGGTCACTGAACGGTGTCTTTTGTCATCTGAACTGCAATCACACGGTTAACTGACTCTGTGCTCTCCTCCCTGCCTTCTCTCTTTGGCGGGTCACACTCCTTTTGAAAATGTGCCACACATCTTGTTAAGAGGTAAACTTTTTTCTAACCATGTGGAGAGAGAAAGAACAGAGATGTGACATTCCAAGTGGGAAAAAAAGAGATTTACTACAAAAAGAAAAAGAAAAGGAAAAAGCTTGTGTTGGGAGGGGAGCTGGAGAGTTCAGAGGACTTTTTGTCCTTGCAGAGGACCCAGGTTTCAATTCCCAGACCATAAATCTTGATTCATAAGCATCCATACTTCCAGTTCCAGGTGATATGGTGCTGTCTTCTGCACATATGCACAAGCAGGTAAAACACTCACATATAAAATGAATAAATCTAATTCTGTGTGTATATTATGGCTTCGAGTTTATTGTTTCTTTAAGATTTATTATTTATTATATATACAGTGTTCTGCCTGCACACATCCCTGCAGGCCAGAAGAGGGCACCAGATCTCATTACAGATGGTTGTGAGCCACCATGTGGTCACTGGGAATTGAACTCAGGACCTCTGGAAGAGCAGCCTGTGCTCTTAACCTCTGATCCATCTCTCCAGTCCCCAGTTTATTGTTTTTGTGGGTTTTCTGAGTGTTCAAATATGAGTGGGTCTCTTATTCTTGTGCCTTCTTTGAGGCTCTTTTCCTTCTGTTTCTTAGTCCATCCAACTTTGATGTGATCTTTTTCTTTTAATCTCATGATATTTTATTTTGTTATATTTTGATATTGTCTCTTAGAATTCTATCCTTTTTTAATGAGATAGAGAAGGGGAGTGCATCCAGATGGAAGGGGAAGGAGACAGGTTCTCTGAGGAAGTGAGGGAGGGAAAACCATAACCAGGATATGCTATGTGGGAAAACAATATTTTTCAATAAAAGACCTCTGTGTTGGATTCCTAGTCTGGCTCTCTTTCACAGACTATCCTCATATTTGCCATTAGGTTAGATAATTGTCTTCTTCCATGTTATTCCAGACACCTTCTTCATCATGCATGAGGTCTGAGCTGTACTTGATAAATGCAGTATGAGGATCTGGTCGCCTTGGCAACATGCTCCACCCATGATAGTCTAAAAACCTGGATGCTCCCAGGGAATGTAGGACCAGTGAGTGGACAGAGCCTGTCATCAGAGGACTATGATCTGGACTATTTCACAGGTAACATGGACCATATCCCCGTGAATTCCATGCTAAAAGGCACAGTTTAGAAAAAAAAACCTATGCAGGGTGGGCACAGATGAAGAGTCGAGTGTTTGTTTATTCTGGGGCATGTTCAGTGAGTGGCTGTAAAGTGTCCTTTTCTAACAAATCTGACTTGTGCTGATGTGTGAAGTGGAAATAAAGTGTTCTGAGGAAAGGAACTTAGTGCTGAGTCACTCTGACTTGTTCTGAAGCAGGTTGAGGCAAAAGCAAGTCCAGATGCTCCCACAGTCAGAACCTCCTCTGACCCAAGTGTCCCCTTCCCTGATCTGAGGGGACTCAAATATCCCCAGGGTAGGAGAGGTGGTTTTCCTTCTCTCTCAGAACCTCTGCATGTCTGTCCTTCATTTCTTCGACCTGTCCATTTAGATTTCACTTGGCTTCTCAGGACAACTAGTCATCTTCCTGGTCTTGAAGATGCTTTTGTGAAGATACAGGCTGATGCTTTCCCAGGGCTTGTAAAGCCATGGAGACACACTGAGCACATGACTACAGTTCATGTGGAGACAAGCCCTTTCTTCAAAACTTCTATGTAGTGAAAAAAATGCTCCTTCCTTCTAACACACATGCCGTGATTATTAACCACTGAGGACACGTCACATCCACTTAGTCCCAGGACAGAAAGTGACTGGTGTCTCTAACTGGTTCCTTCCTGAGACTGAAGAAGCCATATTTGCAAAAGTGCCAGTGATGGGTAAATTAGTGGCAGCTTTCAACACATGAGGGAACTCCATAGAAGGAGAGTGAAGTCTCTCTAACAGTGGGAGTCAAGTGAGTCAAGGGTTGAGGCTGCATTGAAGAAGGGTGGGCTCCAGGCCTGACCAGAGGGTAAGACCCACTTAGGAGGGCTTAGCCATCAAGGAAGACCATCAGTTATTCTGAAATGTGAAACTCTGACAGGGTGCTGTGACTCCATCTCACCCTTGTGCAATGGATACGATCTGTGCTTTCCTCTTTCAACAATGGAAACGTTTAAGCAAAGGAAAATGACTTGTTGCTGCTCTAGGGAGTCAATTGTTATGAAAAGCTGAAGGAATCTACTTGAACTGAATTGTGATAAATCTCCACTAGTAATCTGAACCCAGACAATGTGTCCATCATTGTAGCAAGTTGTGTGTGAATTTCCAGTGTGCCCCTAACAAGGACCTGAGCTCATAAATATGTAAGCATTCAGTGGGTCAACATAAGCACATTTCTTTGCCCATATCAGTGTTCAGAGGCTGTAGTGGTATTCCCTAGTTTGTCATTTTCCCAGGAAAGCAAGTGTGACAGGTATAGGAATTTTAGTGCTAGCAGGGTCATCTCTCTCTCTCTCTCTCTCTCTCTCTCTCTCTCTCTCTCTCTCTCTCTCTCTCTCTCTCACCCTCTCCCTCTCCCCCTCCCCCTTCCCCTCCCTCTACCCCTCCCCCCCTCTCTGTCTCTCTCTCTCTTGTGTGTACATGTGTACACGCACTCACTTGCTCACTGTGTGTGTCTGTGTGTGTGTGTGTAAGATGCAGCTTGTGTCCTCAATTGAATTTGCCTTGTGGGAAGAATGTGTTTGCTGGGGGAGAGATTAGCTCTGAACATCAAGATGGGCTTCTGAGATGTTGCAGAAAGGCGATCCCTTAGGAAGGACTCGGCATGGAGGAGGGTGAGGACCAGAGTAGAATAACAGAAGATGGACTGAAGTGTATAGAGGATAGATGAAGTGGGAACAGGGACCTGGAGTGCTGCTGAAGGTGGATGGATCAAGAGTATAGACAGATGCCTGGGTCTTCACTGCACTTGGGCTGTGCTGATGTCCCAGGGTCAGTAACACAGCAGCTCAGGTTGGGACTGAGGTTAAAATCGGAATGAGAGGGGAAGGATGGAAAAACTCAATAAGGCTCTTCACTTCTGAGGTTGATTGAGTATCAAACATGGCCACTGCAGATGGTGATAAAGCGGGTTTAGAAACAGTTACGCAAGCCCCAAGTGACTCTCTGGGGAAGCTGGCCTCCCTTCTTGCCTGGGCTTGCGGTTTGTAACTGGCAATTTCCTTGCCCTTCTGACTTCCTCATTTCTGTCACAGGAAGTCCCTCCTACTCCCTTCTTGGCTTCCAAACCTCCTCACTGTGTTTTATTGCTGTGCTCCTTTTCTATCTGGGCCACAGTTCCTGATATCACACTGCAGATCCTGTCTCAACGCCCTCAGCACTAATGCTCAGGGGATCAAATTATCTGGCTGCTCTGTAAGGTGCAAGAATATCATTTGCCCAATTTCAAATAGAAGCTGGTAGTGATCTCCCTCTGCCCTTCCTTGGGGTACAATGAGGGCAATGATCTCTCTTTCAGGGTTAGTGTGAGAATCAACTAGTTCAATGACATGGGAAGGTTCAAATATGACTTCTTATTTCTAAGAATATGAATTGGGGTGGGAGAGTGCATTGGTTAGTTTTGTCGTCTCAACATAGACTAAAGTCACTTGGGAAATAGGGAACCTTAAATAAGGAAGTGGTTTGATTACATTAGACTGTACTCATATCTGTAGGGCACTTTCTTGATTAATGATGCTAAGGGACATCAGAACCAGCTGCTACCCCTTCCAGAGGACAACACATGGAGCAAAGTTTGGGACTTCTGACGTGGTCACTTCCTTTCCCTGATCCCAGCATGTAGTTTGCTGACTTAGGTATAGGAGGAGGGTCTGTAATTTCACAGACACTGGGCATCTTTGCTGGATCCTTCCAGCCCTTTCTCTCCTGGCTCACTTTGGTGTTGCTCATTCTTCCTCCCACAGCTTCATGCAGAAGCATCTGAAGTATTAGGAAGTATTGGTAATGGTTGAAGTTCAATAAATCATTTGTTCCCTGAGGCAGAGGCAATAGTTTCTGATCATGCTCCATCAGCAATCTGTTCTCCTCACCATGTTGCATGACTTCATGTAAACTAGTGTTATGCACAGTGTGGGAAAGACCTTAGAGCATCTGGGCTGGGTGGTGTCATGTGGCATCCCAGCTCCTCGTACCCCTTCCAGTGACCTCCAATGTAGTAACTATCAGAGTATCAGTTTCTAGATTTCCCTCTAGGCATCATGGGTCAGGACCAGAATATATCTCCTCCCTCCACGGGCCTAGCAGAATCAGACAAAAGTATGGCAGGACTAGGTAACGTTTCCTCCGAGGACAGAGTGAGGTGGTATACTGATGGTGTGGACAACTGTAGTCTCAGGCCTGCTCAGCTGCTAGCTGTGGGGACACATTCCTTTAAATCCAGCACTTCAGTGAGTGAACTCACACATGTGAGTTCAAGACTAAGAAGGTCTATCTACATAGTGAGTTCCAGGACTGCCAGGGCTCTATACAGAGACCTTGTCTCAAAGAAAACAAAGCAATACAAAACAAAAAGATCTGCTCAGGTAGAGGGAGATATTGAGTACAGGCTACCCAGATAACTGGACACTCAGGTCTAGAGAATGGAATGTGTAACCTAAGTCATGCTATAAGGCCAGCATCATCTAACTGTGAATCAAGACAAAGAAATTAGATGAAACAAATTATAGACTAAAACCTCCCATGAACACAGCTGAAAAATGTTTTAAAAAAATATCATTCATGCATCATGTAAAGACAGTCTTGAAGAGCAAGTCATCTATGACATCATATTCATGACAAGACTTTGTCAAGTATTCTATGATGCTAACACCATGAAGAACATTTATTAAATGTGAGTTCTTTGGAACATATCCTGTTTTTAGCCATGATAATATATTATAAAATGAAAAGAACACCTCATGAAAAAATGGAATTTACCCAGTCATATAAATCCCAATCAAGATTCAAAACCATATGTTATTGATGATAGTAACAAGGTTAAAATTAGAAATACAGATAGTAGAGACAGTTTTTGATGAGTAGTTAGTATTTAGCAGTGTCCCATAGCCATTTATCATGGACACTCGCAGGAAATTAGGAACAGAGAACCTCCAGAGTCAGAATAAGTTCACATACCAAAATACCAAAGTTATCATCACACTGAATGGTGAGAAAGCAGAAATTTTGCATTAAATCCTGTATAAGGTAACAGACTCTCCTCTCTTCACCCATTTCCTGCTTCGTACTTGAAGACTTAGCTAGTGTGGTAACATTGGCTTTATATTTCAAGAGAAACTCCATGAAGAACATGTGTTGAAAACTGAAAGGTTGGAGGGTCATGAAGAGAGTTTTGGGGCATCAGGCAGAGTGAATTTGAATTCTGGACTCTGACTTTACTCATCATTTTTGGTATTGAGGCACTTCCTTGCTTCTAGTCCAACAGACAGAGCCTCTTGCCATGGAGAGTGTGTCAATGGATAAAAATGGAAAATGACACATGAGAGGGAGAGAAAGAAAAGATGTACAGAAATGAAGACCTATGCCTGACAGATGGGACAGCATACCCCCTCGACTTATAGATTCAGAAGTGTTGGTCCAGTCAGCAAGTGCCCACAGTAGGTGGAGGGATGTAAATTCATTTGCTGAGGAAGGATCTCATCACAACACTCACACTTTCCTCTGCACCCAGTGAACATTTGCTCCCTGGACGTTCTCTGACAACAGTTCCTCAGCATAAGAAATGGATTTTCTTACAGAAATCTTGGATCATCAGATTTATTTCCCAGATTCTGGAACTTAGAGATGTACTTCTTTCTCTTCTGATTACTTCTCAGCTGCATGGTGGGTCTGTCTCTGGCTGCCCCAAGCCTCAAAGACCAGAATCCCAAGGACTATGAGGATCACGACAGCAAACCCCATCCTGATGAGATTCTCCACTGTGTGATCCTGGCTCTCTGAGGCTGTGGCTGTAGAAAAAGAAGTTACAGAGGTTTGTGGTGTTCAAAATTCCCTCAAGACAACTAAATGTTCCCAGGATAACTAAATGTCCACCCAGGGCCCCCTGCCTTCCCGCAACAGAATTTGGCCCCTCTGTTTTCAGTGCTATAACTTTGAATTCTCTTTATCCAACTGTCTTGAGTTTGGGTGTGTTCTAGGATGGACTGACAGTCTCAAATGATCCTGAGAACAGAAGAAGAGGAGTAGGATGTGTGCACGCTTAAGAGAGCTGAGTGTTTCTTCTGAGTTCTACTTTCCCGTTTATTTGTAAACGCCCATCATTCTCATCCTATAAGCTCATGAAGTTCTGGGATGGATGAATCTTTCCGCTGGCATAGCTGGGTTCCCTCCCTTATTCTTTTTTAAAATACATTTGTTTGGTTGTTTTACATCCCAACCACAGTTTCCCAGTCCATCCTCTCCTCCCAGTCACTTCAGTCCCCTCTGTTCCTACCCCTGAATCCACTCCTTCTCCATTTCAGTTTAGCAAAGGGCAGGTGTCCCACGAGTATCAACAAAACATGGTATATAAAGTTGCAGTAAGACTAAGCACCGTCCCATGTATTAAGGCTGGGCAAGGTGACCCAGTATGAGGAGTAGGGTCCCAAAAGCCAGCAAGAGTCTGAGACAGTCTCTGTTCCCACTAGGAGTTCTTATTAGATTCTTGAGCACCAACCACTCTGAAAACAGTAGAATAAATTGGAAAGACATTCCAGGAATGGATCCCTGAGTCACTGCACTGAGCAGTCACAGCGCCATGCTGAGTGTGGCATCTCTGGAGAACTCAGCACAGGTTATGCAGATGCATGTGCTCAGTCTGGGATGATTTCCTAAATGAGTTTTTGCTGTGTGTTTGTTCCCTTGTCCCACTTAGACTCTCCCATCTCTCCTGTGATCTGAGACTTGCCCTGATCTGTTCTGAGTACCCAGGGACCACCTAGGGCTGGTCAAGGGGAAACTAACTTATAGTCTCCCAGAAATGAGAAATGGTTTCTGATAAGGCTGAGAACCTGTGTCTTGTCGATAAACTTTCCCTGATGCTCCTCCCCACATCAGACCAAGAAACTTCTCTCTGTCCAGTTCAGGTAGGAGCACATCCTTCTGATGTAGATTGTCCTACATCTCTTTCCTTCCACATATCATGTGGGAAATGAAGGTGTGGAGCAGAGTCATGCAGAGTGTTTGCAGTCCTGCCTCTCAAAAGAAGGTGTGAAGTGTGTGTGGTGTGTGTGTATGTGTGTGAGAGAGAGACAGAGACAGAGAGAGACAGAGGTCTTATCTTATCTCCAAACCTTCTCTTGTTCAGATGAGAACACCAAGGGCAGACAGAACACATTCGTAGCTGTCACCTCTCAAAAGAAGCCTGAATCTGTACAGATTCAGTTCCTCTATTTCACCATGAAGTGAGATGTTGCAGACTTCACAGACAATATGCTTTGATTGAGAATGCTGGGTTTTATTTTGCTCAATGTGATCATTGTTATGTTAAGGTTCTCATGGTGAATTCTGTCTGGTAAGTTTGAGCTATAGATGTGAATCTGTTTTGAACAGAATGAGAGTATAACAAGATTTGTAATTATTACAGCAGGGCCACCTCCTCCCATAGATACACTGTGGGCCATGGATTCACTGAGAGCAAGGGTCTGTGAATATCAATAAGTGGAGGGTGATGAGCAGAGGTTGTCACTGGGGACCAGTTTTTGCTTAGTAGCCTGTATCTGTCTGTGGCCTCCCAAAGATGCTCTTTCAGAGTACCTATCTTCTGGATTACATTATCAGGGACTGTAGTGAGCATTCCTAGAAATATCCATGTTGGTCTCCACTATCATGAGGGTGACTACCCTCTGGTTAGCCTTCAGCAGCATTTAAAACCCAATCCTAGTCAATAATTGTTGTAAATGAAGAATGCTTCGACACCCCTTCAGCTAGGAAAGATCTGGATCACTTACCTGGGACCATGAGCTCCACAGGGGCATTGTCACATGACAACAAATAAAGAGATGAGTCGAGGTCTCCAGAGCCCCTGTAGATGCCTCTGAGAGTGGAGGTCACAGAACTCGCTGAGAATACTAGATCTATACACCATGATACAGACAGAAGGATCCTGAATTCCCTGCCATGGCCCTGTGCCTCACCCTTGCACATGTCCCTACCACTGTGAGACTGATCTGCCACAGAATCAAGCTCTGGATCATTCTTCTGTCAGAAGTCACAGCCAAGGTCACCACTGAAAGAAACTTAAAAGTGTGGGCCACACTTCTCCTTTTTATACGAAGATTAGCAGCAGTCCAAAAACAGAAGGATTTGTCCAAATCAGCATCTCCAGAAGCAGCCGTGTGGAGCCCATAACTAGCTATTGCCCATCTGGGCCCCACCTTCCATCAGAGTCCTTATTAGCCTCTGGGACCTGACTCCATGCAGGTGAGAGGTTTGTTTTCAGGGCCTTAGTGGCAGAATGGAGACAAATGTCTGGGATCCCTGCTCTCCATATCACCTACCTGCCCCATCCTCCAGACTGAGCCAGAACATCTCTCTGGACACCATCTTTCTGTATCCCAGCCTCTAAGTCCTGGGTCTCTGGGGTCTCTGCTGGGATCTCTGTTTGCCTCCCTCACTCACAAGCTAAAGTGACAGAGAAATGAGGACTTTTCTGGGCTAAGAGCTGCCAGGCAGCCTGGGGACGGAGCATACTCCCTGCACTGAGGTGCCTGATACTCACCAGCTGTTGGCATAGGTGTGGAGATCCACAGAGTTCTCCTAGTGAAGTCTGAGCTTGCTTTACCCAGCAGGACCACAGGTGTGGTTGCCAGGTGTTTAGAAGGGTCTGCACTTGGCTGTGTGGTATGCTTTGATCTAGCAAGGGGGAAGTCTTTTGCCCGCCCCTTGGCATTGTTATAAAAAACCCTTTTGAAGAGCCAGAAGGAGCCGGTGGATTTTGAACCAGGTTATTCAGTGTTTTGTCTCCTCTCCACTAACTTTCTATCTACAAGTTTCTTATTCCTCTCTGCTCCTCATTCCTATGAGGAATGAGGTAGGGTTCCTACCCTTTAAAAGGTGGGAGCTGGTCTCCCACACATAGGCCTTAGGGTGGTGGGCTGGAGGCTCTAATGGGTCCCAGAAAAAAGAGCAGTAGGAGGGTGAGGTTTAGATGCTAACCCAGGGACCTGCCTCTGCATGCTCTTCTACACCTGCCCTGTAACATCCCCACAACCCTCTTGCTGTCTACCTGAAACCTAGATTGTAATAAAGGATGGAGTGGACATTACTAGAAGTCCTGCTGCTGGCCCCCACTTCTCTGGCAGGAAAAGTGCCTTCTGACTAACCTTCCTCTTGTCCCCTTAATTCCACCCAAGTCAAGGGCTGTCCTAGGGTTTGGACTGTAAGTCACCCTGAGAGTTCAGTGTCACCTCACCTGAGACCGTGAGCTCCACAGGAGCACTGCCATATGACAACAGGTAGGGAGATGAGTCTTGAGATCCATAGCACCTGTAGGTGCCTGAGAGGGCAGAGGTCACAGCACTCATGGAGAATTCTGCCTGGAACTCCCAAACTTGAAACTTTGATTTTAGTCGCTGGGGTTGGTGGACTGCTCCCTCCTTGGAGAGAATGAAAGTGTCCACTTTGTATGTTGACTGACACAGCAGGGTCACGTTGTCTCCAGAGTGTACTGTGGAGTTAGGCTTCACTGAGAGGAAAGGACTGACAGGAAACTGTCCTAAGGAGAAGAGGGAGGATGAGAGGCTGCCTTTAATGTTCTGAGCTGACACTCCACCAGGATCTGCCCTGAGCACCTGGGATTCTGTCTGTTTTCACTGCCTGAGCCCCTCTCCTGCTCCCCCATATCTCCATCTGTTCCTGAATAAGATCCCTGTCCCTCATCCCAGCCATCAGCTCCTTAACTCCCCCACGAGAACCCATGCACAGGTTAGGTACCTGAGGGAATCTGTTTAGCCCTCACCTGTGATCAGGATGTCCAGGGCATCACTGGAGGCTGACCACTCAGAGGAGAGGTTGTTTGCACCATAGCATCTGTATTGGCCTCCGGTGGAGCTGTTCACAGGGCCCAGTGTGAAATTGGCCAAGGAGAGACCAGCCTCGGTCCAATGGCCACCATTCTGGTTGAAGTCAGCTCCACCCAATTTATATAGAGCAAATCTGTCATAGTTGATGTCAGAACAACACTGCAGGGTGAGGCTCTTCCCAGGGTCCAGGATATGGCCTTGGTGAGTCAGCAAGGAGGGCTTCTTGGACAGACCTAGAGGGAAGGTGACAGGCTAGTGATTGAGGAGCTGGTTTTTACCAAACACTTATCCCCTCCCTTCCTGCCCTCTTTATGCAGAACATATATTTCTACATCCAGGCTCCCCTGACACCAGATGGTCATGGCACTTCTGGAAGCAACCACAGAGCCTGGCTCAGCCTTGATGATGGGTTTGTGGAGGTTACCTGTAAGGAAGTAGGAGAGAAGGAGGTGAGTCTGTCTGAGAGCGTCACAGAGAAGGTCACTGTAGTGCAAATTCTAGTTGGTCTTAATAATAAAAACCCAGAGGCAGATATTAGGGCAAATGCTGAAAGATCAGAGAGACGAAGGAGCAAGCCACAGCCACCTCTCACCTCACCAACTCCTCAGCCTGAAAGGGGCCAAACTCCTGTCTCCACCCATCTTATATTCCTCTCTCTGCGGAGTCATATCACTTCCTGTCTCCACCTCCGTAGTGTTGGGATCAAAGGCTTGAGATCCCAAGTGCTGGGATTAAAGGTGTGTGCCACCACTGCCTGGCCTGTGTGGTTGACTAGTGGCTCTCTCCTCACTCTGATCTCCAGGCAAGGTTTACTTGTTAGAGCACAAACAAAATATCACCACAAGTCACACTTACAGATGGCACTTTTTTTTTTTGCTTAATTATTCTTCTCTCATGCAATACATCCCAACAGCAGCCTCCCCACCTCCCCTCTTGCCCAGATCCACTGCTCCTCCATTTCCCTTCAGAAAAGAGCAGGCTTCCCAGTGATATTAACCGAACAAGGCACAACAACATGCAAAAAGACGAGGCACACACCCTCATATTAAGGCTGGACAAGTCAATCCAATAGGAGGAAATATATCCCACATGCCGGCAAAAGAGTCAGAGATTTCCCCATTCCCATTGCTGTGAGTCTAACAAAAACCTCAAGCTAGCTGGGTCGTGATGGTGCGCCCCTTTAATCCCAGCACTCAGGAGGCAGATGCAGGCAGATCTCTGTGAGTTCGAGGCCAGCCTGGTCTATGGAGTGAGGTGCAGGACAGACAGTGCTACACATTGAAACTCTAAAAAACAAAACAAAAGGCCCAAGGTAAACAACCACAGCGTGTGTGCAGAGGGCCTAGGGCAGACCCATGCAGACGCTGTGGCTGCTGTTCCAGTCTCTGTGAGCCCTCATGATCCCTGCTTAGTAGATTCTGTGGGCCGTGCTCTCCTGATGTCCCGAGTGCTCTGGCTCCTGCACCCCTTCCCCCTCTCTTCTGTGGGGTTCCCCTAGCTGTTGTGGATGGCACATGAGCTAATCCAGAGTAACAGAAGGCCCCATAAGGATTCATCTCCGTCCTGACCTCCTGGACTTTGCTGTCACTCTCTGTCTTGGATTCTGTGACTTGTGTCCCTCTCTCTCCCATGCTCTGTGTCATGGGCTCAGGAGCCCTGGCCCCTCACACACACCACATACCAAGGCCTCCCTGAGCACCTGTATCATGTCAACATCATTCTTTGGAAAGGCTGGGGTTCCTCACCTGAGACCAGGAGCTCCAGGGGGTCACTAGGTTCTGACCACACCTGTGGTCTGTTCCTGTTAAAGCTGTAGCATCTGAATGTCCACCTTTGGCTGGAGGTCACAGGGCCCACAGAGAACAGGGCCTGGAACTGTCTAGTAGAGTAGTTATACTGTGATTCCTGTGTCCAGGAGAGCTTCTGTGGTCCTTCCTTCGTCAGAATGAACCAGTGATATGGCTGCCTTGAGGCACACTGGAGGGTGACATTCCCTCCTTCAGTCACCACAGGGCTGTGGTGGGCTGACAGGCTGGGTTTACTGTAGGCTCCTACGAGAAAAACAGGAGTCAGTTAAATATATCAGGTTTCATTATCCTCCAGGGCTGTGAGGTGGAGGTAACCCTGTTAACAGACCCACCTCTTGACAGTCAAGCCTGAGGCTGGGGACCCTGTGTGTTCTATCACCTGTCGCCACCAGCTCCAGGGAGTCACTGTCCCTTGACCATCCATCACGAGTCTGATATTGACAGCGATATTGCCCTGCATGTCTTTGGTCTGTTTTTGAGATTGAAAATTCAGCCTTGTCCTTAGGACTCTGTGGAATCTCTGTGCTCCGTAGATACTGGTATCCCTCTTTATAGAGTATGTACTCTTTGGCTCCTGTGGTCCCCTCACACAAGAAGATCACCATAGTCTGCTTGTGGACCACAAAGTCTGGCTGTACTCTGAGGATAGGCTTAGGGAGGGCCCCTGCAAGAAAATGAGCAGCTATGACCCAGGACAGCCAGCCTCAGATTGCAGACCCAACCCCAACCCTCCAGCCATGCCCAGGGTCAGCACACATGTGTTGTTCTCCATTCTCACTGCCCAGGCATGGCTGCAGGAATGATGAGAAGTGAAGTTCAGGACATCTGCAGACACTCACTCACCTGAGAGCACTGGGGTCCCCAGGCCCAGAGTCAGTCCTGGAAGAGAGTTCCCAGTGAGAGGTTTGTCCCTGAAGCTTGAGCAGGTCCTGCCCTCTGTAGAACCTCCTGAGACCCTGGGGTTTTTTGATGGGCCAGTGCTGGGCTGTGGGGCAGCATCAATCCTAGACCACAGTATCCCCTCCCCATCTCCACATCTCACCCAGACAGAGCAGGGCTGTGATGGTGAAGGTCATGGCATCTCTTCCTGGAGGCTGCAACTGTGCTCGTGGGCAGAGCTACAGTGACTGTCTGGAGGGACAGGAAACACAGGGTGTGGCCTCTGGAGGCTGGACACTCCCCATGACATGGTTGTAGTTCAGCAGCCCCACAGGAAGGGGAAGTGCCCTCCTCAGGCGCCAGGCTCTGACTTCCCCAAGGGTGTGGCTATGTCAGGTAGTAGACTCCACAATCAATTCTTTGATGGATGACATTTCCATAACCCCATAACTCTCTGTCTCATTTTGTCCTAATCTTTGTCAGGGCCAGGTGGTATCAGACATGTATGACTATTACACATAAGAAATATAAACATACATGTGGGTTTGCTTTATTCCTTTTCACAATTTTTTTTTTGGAGCTGAGGACCGAACCCAGGGCCATGCGCTTGCTAGGCAAATGCTCTACCACTGAGCTAAATTCCCAGCCCCCCTTTTCACATTTTTATGTGAAATACTTCTTCATATCCAAATGTTTGCAGGTTTGTGTGAAGGGTTCACTGTGTACATCTTTATGGAGTAAAATGTATAATCCTCTTTCTCATAGTCTCAAATGCTGGTTTATAAATGTGCACCGCTATTTCTGGTTGTTTGTTCTTTTTGGAAGTGTGTACTTTCCATTACAACTTTAAATTACACTTATTTATTTCCACTTATTTCTTTAAATCACACTTATTTAATAATAATAAATTACCCTTATTTTTTTCTTTATGTATGTACATTCACATGTGCCACAGTGAAAGAACCAAGCAGACGCCATAACAGGCTGCTCAGTCTTCTCTCAGAGATCAGGCCTCAACTTCAGTTTCCTGAGTCTTGAGCAAGCAGTTTCTGGGAGGGCCATGAACAAAAGACATAGTCGTTGCAGTAGCTCCCTTTCTGCACATACTCTGACCGCTCAAGGTTTAGCCAATTGTTTACTGTCTGGGACACTTCACCAACTTAGAGCTGAGTGCATGAGTCAAGAACAGAGCCTGGCCACTGAGTCAGCCCCCACAGTCAGTATGTCCATGGCAGCTCAAGGACAGAGCCTGGGCCACTGAGTCAGCCCCCACAGTCAGTACATGCTAGGCCAGGCAGCCTCCATGGCAGCTCAAGGACAAAGCCTGTAACTTGTCCAGGCCTGCCCAAAAATGGTAACTGTAACCCCCAACTAACCCTAGCCAACTAAAAATTACTAACTTGATTGCCACTACATAAACCAATCCTGAGTCTGTTCCTATGTAGTCTGTAGACCCCAAGCCCCTTTGGCTTTAAAAACCCTTCCCCATTGCTACTCGGGGTCTCTCGTGCTCTGCTGCTGCATCAGACAGATGGAGAGTCCCGAGTTAACTCATAACAATACAAAGACTCTTTGCTTTTGCTTCAGATTCGGTCTCTTGCTGGTCTTTGGGGTACTCTGGGTACATTTGGAGGTTCCACTGAGATCCCCAATCCCACCACAACCACCGTCCGTTGAGTTTTATGGCGCCTATTATCATAGGTAACATAGGTGACTTTTGGATTTGCCTGGCAAGCTTTTTTGGTTTCTGGTTTCTGTTTCTGGCCATTTGTGGCAATAGGAACTCTGTTTATGAAGCCCCCATAAGATCTGTGGGTGGATGCACTGGTGGATGGTGGGTTAGGGTCCTGGGAGACGTCCCAGGGCCCTTCTGGTGGGTCCAGAGACCCTTCTGTTGAGGACTGGATTCCCCTGGTTCCTCTGGAGAGGCTGAGTGGGTCGCTGAGTGGGTCACGCCAGCAAACTGATGTCTTTGTCTTGGTCTCTGTTCTGACTGTTATTTTGTTACTGTTCTGCTCCATGTGTTTCAGGGGACTGGGTCCTCCTGACTGAACCCAGATAATCAGGTAGCTCCCGCCAGGTGGGGCTTATATACTGCAAGAGAGGCCATCCGCTAGCCAGGGCTGGCTAATCGCAAGGGAGGCGGTCATCTCAATGCTGATGTACCAGTACTCGGATTGTCTGTGTAAATGTTATTTGTTTCTGTCTACTAACCTCCCTTATTTTCCTGGAAGAATGGAGAGAGAGGCCTGGCAAGGGCCACCTCCCTCCCTCGTAGCTCTCTTGCTATCAGGCCTGCAGCATGGGAGGGGCTGGTCTTGGTCTGCAGGAGAGGCCTGCAGCCAGCCAGCCAGCCACTCTCACAGAGGGTGGGGGTGCACGCTCTCGGTCCAGGTGGGCAGAGACGGGAGCCATGGGCAGGGGATGGGGACTGCCTGTAATTGACAAAGACTGTGTGAATGCTGAACAGAGAATCTGATTTTAGTCAGAGGAGTTAACAAAACTTTTTTTTTTTTTTTTCAGGAACACTGACATCCAAGAACACACCCTGGTCCCACATCCCCCTTCCTTCCTTCCTAAGCCAAGTTCTTCTTCACTGTGGTAACTTCAAGGTCTCTTCTTCCAGGCAGCAACTCTCCCTCCTTAACCCTTCTCTGTCCTGATACTGCTTGAAAAGAAGTGTTGAATTGCCAGACAAAGATACATTAGGTTTGGGAAAAATTATGCTTTTGTTTCCATAAGTAAAGAAAAATACATGGATTTTGGCCATTTGAGTTCAGTGGGTTACAAATTCTTGCCATCATTTAAGAGAATTGGTTACAAATTATTATTGTTTAAAATAAGAAAAAGAACTGTATCAAATTCCAAGTAGAGAATAGCTCGATGAATTAAATAGAAAAAAAGATATTTCAGGATGTGATGTTTTTATAAGAATATGAGGGCTTGAGACAAGAGGATGAAAGTCTGAATAAATGATTCTTTTGGTTTGAGGAAGCAGTTTAAGATATAAAAATGTAAAGGCTTACATATGCCATGAGGGTTTGAGTACACACTGTCTTGGGTCTGAGGAAGTAGTTTGGGGTACAAAAACATGGAACTTTAAGTAAGTCGTGAGTAAAGTACAGTTTATGTGGGGTCTAAGATGTAAAGGCTTTAGGTATGGAAATATAAAAAGAATGTTTTGGGAAGAAGGAAAGTACCTTAAGACATGTGAAATGCAAGCTATCGGGATGTGTAAAAGCAGGTTATGAAGGGCTGAGGATGAAAAGGCTTAAGTAGCAATAAAAGAAAATGATTTAAGATGTATAAAAAAAGAAACATGTTCCAGATTGCTTTCTCTTGCTATTCTGCTGTTACATTGAGACTCCAAAGGTTCATAGTTTTTAAAAATGTCTGTCTACTCTGCAGGTATGGATGAAAATGTGGCCACACGCATGTTTGGTTTTGAATGTCTGAGTTTGCGTGTCCTCTCTGTTAGGGAGTACAAACTAATCCAGATGCTAGTTTAAAGCATAAACTGTTAACTCTTGTTTAATTACAAACTATTTAAAGAAGAAAAAAACAGAACCTGAGAGGCCCATTTGACTAATACATCTACAGGATAACCAATTAGCCTGGTTATTGTTACCAGATTTAAAGATGTTTCCAAGATTAGGCCTAGATTTGTTTAGCTCAGATATAGTAATTAATACATAAGTGTCCTCAAACCCGCCAAAGATCTGATGAATATGGTGTTTACATTGGTCGATAAAGCCCACACTCTGGCTCAAGTCTTGGCGCCTGTTCTGCTTTGCTCTGCAGTGTGAGGAGGCTGAATCCTCTCTGCACTCAGTTCATGCCTTTCCTCTCTCTCGGGGTGCTCCATTTCTCCAGAGCTGCTGCTGCTCAGCTCCTATCGGTGCCTTGCCTTTCCCCCACGTCATCCCCCACAGCCTATGGCCCAGGCTGTCTTGGGTATTTCTGCTCAAGGTAACTACATCCCTCTTTTTTTATTATTATAATTTTTTTCTTTTTTTTAAGAAATTTTCTATTTACTTTACATACCAACCACAGATCCCACCTCTTTCCTCTTCCCACCCCCCAGTCTTACCTCCAAAGCCACCCCCCATCCCCAAATTTTCCAAATCAAGGTCTCCCGTGGGGAGTCAGCAGAGCCAGGCACACTCAGCTGAGGCAGGACCAAGCCCTTCCCCGCTGCACCAAGGCTGCTCAAGGTGTCACACCGTAGGCACTGGGCTCCAAAAAGCCTGCCCATGTACCAGGGACGGATCCCGACCCCCTTGCCTGGGTGTCCCCCAAACAGTTCGAGCTAAAGAACTGTCTCCTGTATCCAGAGGGCCTAGTCTAGTCCTAAGGGGGCTCCACAGCTATTAGTCCACAGTTCATGGGTCTCCAACAGTGTGGCTGCTCATCTCTACACGTTTTCCCATCATCATGGTGACTTCCCCTGCCCACAGAATCCCTCCTCTCTCTCATTGATCGGATTCCAGAGCTCAGCCTAGCACCTGACCGAACCACATGCCTCTTTAAAAATTCTGCTAAAAAAGAGAAAACTCTTTACCTGACTCTTTGGGTCGTTATCTCACAGAGAACTTTCTGACCGAGTATACAACTACCCAGAAGGCCTAGGAGAAGTGCTGTATAGAGAGCAGTTCGACTTCAACGCTGAGCCACCTTGGGAACCTAGCTGATGATGGATAGGGACGTTCCATCTCCTAACTTGTCCATTTTGTTGCATATTCTAAGGACCCAGACATAGGCTTGGTGGCGCGTCTCTTGTTTTTCCTGGTTTATGACTTTCAGCTTTGTGGACTTCGGCTGAGATGAAAGGATTTATTGACGATGCAAACTACTCCATGGGCCTGTTTGGATGAAGGAACAAACCTTGGAAATGTTATTGATACCTGTGTTTACGAACATCCCATGACAGGAAAAAATGCGTTCTTTGTGGGGGATCTTGGGAAGATCGTGAAGAAGCACAGTCAGTGGTGGCTCAGATAAAGCCTTTTTACACAGGGAAGTGCAACTCCACCCCAGCTGTGCTTGGGATCCTGGAAGCTCTCGGAACTGGATTTGCTTGTTCCAGCAAAAATGAAATGGCTCTAGTGTCAAAATTGGGTGTATCTCCAGAAAACATCATTTGCGCGAGTCCTTGTAAGCAAGTGTCTCAGATGAAGTATGCGGCAAAAGTTGTAAGAAATATCATGACATGTGACACTGAAACTGAATTAGAGAAAATTGCAAGGAATCACCCAAATGCCAAGGTCTTACTACGCATTGCAACCGAGGATAACATTGGAGGTGTAGTTGGTAACGTGGAGTTCGGCACTACACTGAAGAACTGTAGGCATCATTTGGAATGTGCCGAGGAACCTCATGTCCAGATAACTGGGGTTACATTTCATGTTGCAAGTGCTTGCAAAGAATATCAAGTATATGTGCATGCTCTGTCTGATGACTGGTGTGTGCTTGACATGGCTGGAGAGTTTGGCTTTACAATGAACATGTTAGACATCGATGGAGGCTTCAAAGGAACTGAAAGTCAGTTGGAAGAGGTTAATCATGTTATCAGTCCTCTGTTGGACATTTCCTTCCCTGAAGGATCTGGCATTCAGATAATTTCAGAACCTGGAAGCTACTATGTATCTTCTGCATTTACACTTGCGGTTAATATTATTGTTAAGAACGTTGTTGAAAATGATAAATTTTCCTCTGGAGTAGAAAAAAATGGGAGTGGTGAACCAGCCTTCATGTATTACATGAGTGATAGTTTTTACGGTTCTTTTGCTTGTAAACCTTGAGGACTTAAATACCATTCCAGAGGTTCACAAGAAATACAAGAAAGATGAGCCTCTGTTTACAAGCAGCCTTTGGGGTCCATCCTGTGATGAGCTTCATCAAATTATGGAAAGTGCCTTCTTCCTGAGCTGAATGTGGGAGATTGGCTTATCTTTGATAACATGGGAGCAGATTCTTTCCATGAACCATCTGCTTTTAATGATTTTCAGAGGCCAGCTACTTATTACATGATGTCATTCAGTGATTGGTATGAGATACAAAATGATGGAATTACTTCAGATGCAATGGTGAAAAACTTCTTTGCATCCTCTTGCATTCAGCTGAGCCAAGAAGACAGCCTTTCCACTGAAGCTTAAACAGGCATTAATGCTTCTTTAGATCTGAAGTCGCAGGTTAAGCTTGTCTGGTCTACATTCCAGTGTGGGGGGAAAAAAATCCAATCAATCTTTACTCTGTTAATTACCTTGGAAACAAATTCATAGTAATAGCTATTTGGGGACCAGACAAAAATCAGCTTTCACCTATAATTCATGTGGGATAATGAGGGATTTAAATAATGTATCCAGATTCAAACAAACCAGTTTGACCCACCCCTTATTTAAAATAAAATATTCAACACAGTGGATGACTTGGTGGAGATGGAAGCCCATTGATTGGGTTCCCCATCAAATCGCTTACATACAAGTACACAGTTTTTATAATAAGGGTTCCTGTTAAGTCTTGTAAAGTTGATGGCTTTCACCCAGATATATCACATGTGAGTGGAAGACCAGTATGACCTTATTAGTTACATTTAATGTATTTAGAATGTGTAAATTTGTGCTTTGAACTGTAGTTTAATAAATGTAAAATTGCATCATAGTATTTGTCGTATTTGACCTAATGTAACCCTTATACGATTGCAATAAAACTTTGTGTAGTTTTCACTGTTTTTTCAGGCTAAAACTTTAAGAAGGGGGCTAGCTAGCAAAGGGAGTGTTCAAGTAGTTGTGTGTATGGTCTGTCTTGAGGGTTAGTTTTCTTTATAGCCCATTTAAGTTTGGTTTGGCTCAATACACTTTTAGTTATTTAATTAGTGATTTAAGTAAAAGTGTTTGGTAAGTCATTGTGAAGTTGAGACTATCCATTACCCAGACCGCCTCACCCCAGGCTCCTGTAGTCTTCATAGCATTGGCAGGACAGGTGTCAGGACACTCTGTTGTTTTTTTTAATAGATTTGGAAGTCTGCACTCAGATAAAATTTATCCTTCTCAGATCTTTGATGGCATTGATGACTGGACTAGCTATAGCTTTGTCAGCTTAGAAATATCAGGCAACCAAAGTCTTCCACAAGGTTGTAGCCACCTTATTAATTCATTGATCAATATATTAATTAATTAATTAATTAAAGCTACTAAGTCTCTTTGAGAGAGAGAGAGAGAAACAGATTCTAAATATAGACTTACAGATGCTTTTCATCAGGCCAAAGACATTTCAGTCCAATCTATACCTGGCTCTCTAGATAGAAAGGAATGTACATGGTTTTAACCCAAATTTGTAACTTTTGCTAGGACTCAAAAATATGAGTCTATTCCTGTTGTTTTACAGATACCTGTTACCTGCTTTTTCTACAGTATGGATTTCAATGCAAAGTGATAGTACTACAATTATTGAGACTATGGGTCTGAAGGCTCCAAATAAATTCATAAATTTTAACCCCTGTTCCTAGTTTATATCTGTCTCAACAGGCTTCCACTTGGCTGACAGACACATTCAAGCATCATTTGCTGGTGACAACCTACCCCAAATGACTGTGAGTCCTGAACTTGCTGAAAGCTGATATGGACCAATCCAGCCGATAGAAATGCCATCTCTTCAGCTGGTCAATAAAATGTTCCCTCCTTGCCTTTGACTAACATTCTGGCTTTCCAGGGCCCCGACAACAATGTCCCAACATCAACAGGAAGTAATTACAGAAGAGAAAAATCACCCTTGTTTCCCTCCCTGGAATGTTAGATCAAAAGGGAATTTCTTGTCATACAGAACCTGAGATAAAGTAATAACTGGTCCCCATTCTCATTTCTAAGTTCCTTCAGAATAAGGAACTCTGTCAGCCATCACAGGGCTTTTGGCCCTTCTGCTTCTGCTAATTACTGTTGGCTCTTATGTCACTGATGCCTTAACTAAATGATAACTCCTGTCTGGGTACCACTAAACTGATGATGCTAGAATCCCAATATCAGCCCCTGGACCCATGACACACTTGCAGATGGCAACAACTGAATAAGGGGAGGCTTACTTTGCTGTTGATGATGGAAACCTCTTACATCCTGATCTGATTAGTCTTTAAAATAATCTACTACCCTGATGATAATGTCTTTTACCAAAAAGAAGCATCTCCAAGATTGGAGATGATATACTACTCAAGGGAGGAATGAAAGGACCAAGCAGATGCCATAACAGGCTGTCAGTCTTCTCTCAATGATCAGGCCTCAATTTCAGTTTCCTGAGTCTTGAGCAAGCAGTTTCTGGGAGGGGCATGAACAACAACAAAAAGAAAACAAAAAACATAAGTCCTTGCAGTAGCTCCCTTTCTGCACATACTATGACCACTCCAGGATCAGCCAATTGTTTACTGTCTGGGACACCTCACCAACTTAGAGCTACGTGCATGGGTAATATGAATATGCAAGGCCAGCCAGCTTCCATGGCAGCTCAAGGACAAAGCCTGGACAAGTTCAAAAATGGATAACTGTAACCCCCAACTAACCCTAGCCAATTAAAAAGTACCAATGTGATTGCCATTCACATAAACCAAACCTGAATCTGTTCCTATGTAGTCAATAGACCCCAAACTCCCCTTGCTTCACCCCCTTCCTCTACTCCCTATACCTGCCCCATTGCTACTCAGGCTCTCTCCTGCTCTGCTGCTGCATCGGAAGGATGGAGAGTCCCAAGTTAACTCGTAACAATACAAAGACTCTGACTTTTGCATCGGATTTGGTCTCTTGGTGGTCTTTGGGGGACTCTGGGTACAACAACAGCAGATGCATGGAGGTCAAAGGACAACTACAGAAGGCAGATTTCTCTTTGCATAATGTGGGTCAGAGGCAGGGCTGGTGGTTGGCAGCAGGGACTCATGCACTTGTCCATGTCACTAGCCCAATCTTAGCACCACCACTTTCCTTAGTCCTTCTGCTTCAGTCAAAAAAGAAATGCATTGATTACTGGGGATCCTGGGCCAAATGAGGTCCCAGCATGATTTGACTTACTTGTGGTGCAGGTTGTTGGTATGGCCCCTCTTCTTCTTGAGGCAGTTGACCTCAAGGGGTGCAGATGTGGGCAGCACTTGTGGGCAGCAGTGCATGGACATATCACAGTTGTATTTCTGAAGAGACTAGCAAAGGGATGGTTTTTTAGGCCACCACACAGGCACAGCACCAGGTGAAGGGTGGGACTCTTTTTGGACCTTGCTGTTGGCCAGGATGCAGCTACCCTCCATCTGCTGGCAGCAAATACCAGCCACTGCTGGTCAGATGGGATCCCTTCCTTGTCTTTGATCTTGGTCTTGACAATCTCCATGGAGTTGTTGGGCTAGACCTTGCGGGTGAAGGTCTTGCCCTTCAGGACATTGCCAAATCTGTATGTTGGTGTCTGTTTGGCCACCTAGTTGAAGAGACAGAGAGCTCAGTAAAAATGTTTTGTTTTCTTTCATTTTGGGTGCTAAGGATTGATGGCAGGGCCTCCAGTGTTCTACTGCCCTTGAGTCATACTCCACCCCTGAGCCACTCCCACCTTACCCTGTAATTGTAAATTTCTGATCTTACTTTAAATTTTTTTCATCTGTTATCTTTTTCTTATGCTTATGGGTTTAATTATTTTTGTTGTTGGTTTGAGGCAGGCTCTCTGTGGAGCCCTGGCTGTCCTGGAGCTGGTTATGTAGGCCAGGCTGAGCTGGAACTCACAGAAATCCTCCTATCTTTGCCTCACAAGTATGTAGCTGGAGTTTTCTCTCCGGGTCCCACCAAGCCCCAGCAGTCTGACAGCTCACTTATAAAATAAACACACAGACGCTTATATTATTTACAAACTGTATGGCTGTGGTAGGCTTTATGCTAACTGTTCTTATATCTTAAATTAACCCATTTCTATAAATCTATACCTTGCCACATGGCTCATGGATTACCGGCATCTTTACATGTTGCTTGTCATGGTGGCAGCTGGCAGCGTCTCTCTGACTCAGCCTTCCACTTCCCAGAATTCTCCTCTCTCCTTGTCCCGCCTATACTGCCTGCCTGGCTACTGGCCAATCAGTGTTTTATTTATTAACCAATCAGAGCAACACATTTAACATACAGAACATCCCATAACACAAATGTTTGGATTAAAGGTGTGGGCCACCTCATCCACCCATGGGTTTAATTTTTTAATTGTTTGAAAATGCCATATCAATATGTATTGTGTTTTGATGGAATCCACCCTCCCACCCTCCCCTGCTCCCTCACCCTCTCTTGCTGGTTCCTTCATCACTGACCTGATTTTCTTTTTGATTCCTTCTGTGACCTGTTAGTTGTAGAAAATCTCTCCAAAAAAATTACTGCAAGTTCTTTGCCAATGTTCATTTTTCTTCCCATAAAGAGGAAATTTCACCATTAGTAAAAGGTACTACAATTTCTACTGGGTGTGTTCCTGCTAATTGACATTCTTAATTTTTCTTTTAGAATCAACTCAGAAATCTTTTCTACATAGGTCTCTATTTTTTTTACTCTGTGTGGTAAAATATCCATTCTAAGATATTATCTTCTCTCTGAATTAAAATTCCTGTAGAGTAATGCATAGAAAGTAAAATAACCAGAATGCAACCAAGCTCTGGATCCAAAAGATCCACATGTGCATCCTGTAACTTCTTTTTTACCAAAGCCAATTCTCTCTCAGCTTCAGCTGATAATTTTCTTGGACAATTTAAGTCATTGTCACATTTTAAGGTTTGAATCAAATTACTCAGTTCTTGAGTTGTTACTCCAATAGTGGGCAATAGATAGGTAATGTCTCCCAGCAATTTTTGAAAGTCATTAAGAGTTCTCAGTTGATCTCTCCTGATTTGTACCATTTGGGGCTGAATTTTTTGTAAACCTATTTTGTATCCTAGATGATTAATAGAATCTCCTCTTTATATTTTTTCAGGAGCAATTTGTAATCCCCAACAAGGAAAAATTTCATTTACTTCCTCAAACATTTTCTCTAAAGTGTCTACATTTGAATCAGCTAATAAGTTATCATCCATATAATGGTAAATTATAGATTGAGGAAACTGTACATGAATCATTTCCAAAGGTTGTCATACAAAATATTGGAACAGGGTGGGCATGTTTAACATCCCTTGTGGGGATGTTAATAAAAATATCAATTCTTCAATTGATTTCTCTTAACAGGCTGAGAATTACTAGAAGTGGACACTGTGAAGGCAAATTTTTCTCTATCCTTTTCTTGTAAAGGTATAGTGAAGAAACAGTCTCTTAAATCAATAAGTATAATAAACCATCCTTTAGGTAATAGAGAAGGCAGGGGAATTCCAGCCTGTAAAGACCCCATTGGCTAAGTCACCTTATTAATAGCTCTTAGATCTGTTACCATTACCCATTTTACAGATTTCTTTTTAATAACAAATACAGGATAATTCCAAGAACTGGACAATTCTTAAATATGTTGAGCATTTAGCTGCTCCTGTACCAGCTGTTATAAGGCCTGTAGTTTCTCTGATGTCAAAGACCATTGTTCCACCCAGACAGGTTTGTCAGTGAACCATTTTAAAAGTAGGGATTTGGTTCCTTTAAAAGATCAGTAGCTGTTATGCCCTGTTTTTTTACAACCTGAATGGTCAGTGACTGTTCTTTATAATACCTTTTAATATTTATCCCAGAAACATATATTAGTTTTAGTTTGTTTCTGAGATTAGAGGAATGTTAATCTTGGTATTCCATTGCTGTAACAAATCATGTCCCCATAAATTCATTGCTATATTAGCCACATATGGCTTTCATTTTCCTCTCTGTCCTCTGGTCCTATGCATTTGACCCATCTCGTGTTTTGTTTTACCTAAGATAAAGTCCCAATCCCTAAAATCTGAGCATTTATGTCCTGAAGAGGCCAATTTGGATGCCAGGATTCTGGTGCAATTATTGTTACATCTGCCCCTGTGTCTACAAGACCCTCAGTTACAAAGTCATTTATTTGTAATTTTAGTTTTGGTCTTTGATCATTTATAGAAGTTTACCAAAATATTTGCTTTATGGTTTCTCCTGAAATTTTTGTTTTATCTGTCCTACCATCCAGGGCAGTATGATTTTTTTACAATAGGCATTAGGTTCTTTAATTGATCTGGGCACAAGTTTCCTCCATGGTGACAGAGAACAATTGAACCAAATTTGAGCACTTTGCATATCACCTTCCAAGACTGTGAAATCTGGATGTGCTACATGACTTTGTTAGCCTCCTTTCTTATGCCACCTATGGATACATGAGTGGTATATTAATCTTCAAGGTAAGTGCCAGTTTATTTCTCCATGTTCTGTGAGCCCAGTATGTGGTATCTTCAGTCACAAATTTTGGAGAGATGCCAGCAATATTTGTTGGCAATGGCCTGTGATACTTGGGGGCCTATGGTAGTTGATTAGAAAGCAACTGAAAAAGAAATAAACCAGTCCTGGAATTGGGACTTACATTATTAAGCATGAGAAGTCTACTTGGGCTACTGTCTACCTAATATAGTGTAACTTTATTAAAATTCTTTTGAAATATGCATGTGTAAAGATTATAGGATGTTCCTATACTAGTATATATCTGTACTGTTTTTCAAAAGACACTTAGGGTTAGTTATCCCTTTCTATATTCCCTCCTACACACACCTAAATTTAACTCTTCATGTCCCATTACTCTTCTTTAATTCTTTATATCACTGTATTCTATCTCTTACCCTTCATAATCCCATGATCCTTATTAAATTCCTGACTTTAAAGGTTATTCCACATGAAAAACACATATCTAGCTTCCCCTCCCTCCCTGGAGTGTAAACTGCAAATGGGATGTAATATATGAGAGAAGAATTTAAAAACATCAAAAAAGGATATCACAAAAATATTTTAAGCCAGGCGGCGGTAGCACACACATCCCAGCACTCAGGAGGCAGAGCCAGACAGATCTCTGTGAGTTCGAGGCCAGCCTGGTCTACAGAGTGAGATTCAGGACAAGAACCAAAACTACATAAAGAAACCCTGAGTCAAAAAACAAAAAAAAAATTTAAAGCAATAGTAACTGGTACAGTAGACACCAGTGTAGCATTGTGGTGACATAGAATCTAGTCTCTGTCACTCCTTAGCCTTGTGAATGTGCTCAAGTGTCTTCATTTCATTCAACCTCAGTGCATTCATCTTCAAAATAACAATAGCAATGGAATCATAGAATATTTTATTATGAATGCACATACTCAAATAAACAGGATTTCCCACAAGACAAGGAAAAAAATTCTATATTTGTTTGTATTCCAAAAATCTCCACCTATCTAAATATTCATTTGTGAGGCTAACATCCCATGTGTAGTTGTCAGTTGGACAATGTAAATTTTACAGTTGAAAACAGAGGTATATGTGCTTTTCCTAGACCACCATAAGGTACCAGCTCAATAAAGGACATATTATTCTCCCTTTTGTGTCTTATTTCCACATATATTCATTCTAAATGCTGGCATGCTCACTAGGAACCATATTGTGCAGTGATAGCTTGCTTCTTACACATCAAAATAAGTGTTATTTGACTGTGCCTGAGACAATCTTGCTGCAAGTCCAGATATTAATAAAGGTTTAGAAGATTCAATTATTGGATTTATCACAGGAGTTTTTGCTTTTCATCATTGAAAAAGCAAAACTAAGTCTCTAGTTTTCTGTTAAACCTAGAACAGCAATGAATGTGGTTGGATCTATTTACTTCTTAGTGGTTGCTCAATTCGTACCTTTGCCTGTATGTCTAGGATTGCTGCTTTCCACAGCAGATTCTCCAGATACTAGCACAGGCCTCTGATCAGGATTCATGAGCGTCTCAGAAAACAAGTCATGATCTACCTGAAAACAAGTGGAGTAACCCCAAGACTCAGGAGGGAAACACTGGCTTCAGTTAATAGATTTGTCAGACTTAAATGTCCTGGGACACATGGGAAAATATGTAATGAAATAACTTCCTGGAGAATAACAGACTCCAAATGACATGCTGGTGATTTTCTGGAAGGACTTGTTGTCAGCATAATCTTGCAAGAGTAAAATAATATAAAGTACTCCCTGGAAATATACATAACAAATCCCTTGATCTACCCTTGAGTGCAGCAATTCATACCTGACTACAAGATCAATTCAGAACTTAAATTCTCCCAAAGGAAACCAGGAAAACTTTTTCTAATTTCTGCCCATCTACTCATTAAGATCTAACAAACTCCTAGACATCATCATTAATCACCAGAAGGTAAAAAAGGAGATTTGCTCTGGGGATAAATGAGTTTTCCTTCATTGGAGGTATCCCAAAGTTTCCATGCAGACAATCTCACAGACACCACAGATGACACAGTAATGAGCTCTCTGAGGGATGTCACATCTAGGTACGCTGTTTTGTTTTTTGTTTTTTGTTTTTTTTTTTTTTTTTTGGTTTTTCGAGACAGGGTTTCTCTGTGTAGCTTTGCGCCTTTCCTGGAACTCACTTGGTAGCCCAGGCTGGCCTCAAACTCACAGAGATCCGCCTGGCTCTGCCTCCCGAGTGCTGGGATTAAAGGTGTGCACCACCACAGCCTGGCTACGCTGTTATTTTATAATCACTGGAAACTTGGACTCTTCTGGGTCCCCTTCACAGCATTGCATGGAAAATAAGGAATAGTTAAGTTCATTGCATTCTTTCTCAGGCCAAGAGCTACACAGAGAAGGCCTTCAATGGGCAAGGCACTCTGAGATATACTACAACAGGAATTGTGCTCAGGAGCTGGCCTGTTGTTGTTAGGTTTTTTTTCTCTCTTTTGGGGAGCCTGCCACCCTGCTCCCAAATAAAGCACACACAGAGGCTTATTCTTAGTTATGAATACTGGTCTTAGCTTTGCTTGTTTCTAGCCAGCTTTTCTTAGCTTTAAATTATCCCATCTACCTTTTGCCTCTGGGCTTTTCCTGTTCTCTTCTCTGTAGATCTTACTCTTACTCCATGGCTTGCAGTGTAGCTGGGTGGCTGGCCCCTAGAGTCCTCCTCCTTCTCTGGCTGCTAGATCTCTCACTCCAGTTTTCTCCTTCTATATATGCTCTCTGCCTGCAAGCCCCACCTACCCTTTCTCCTGCCTTGCTATTGGCCAGTCCTTTATTAGACCATCAGGTGTTTTACACAGGCACAGTAACACAACTTCACAAAGTTAAACAAATGCAACATAAGCAAAAGTAACACTCCTTAAAATAATATTCTACACACTGACCTTCATCCTGTGAGCATCCTCATCCTCTCTGTGGCTCATAAGGTGAGATTCTTTCAGCCATAGACTTCTTAAAATTCTCTTTCCCTTCTTCACTGAACATTCTCTTCTGAAGCCAACATGACTCATTGTGTCCTCTGGAAGTCTGCAGTCTAATTCAAATAGGTCTAAATTTTGTTTTAATCACAAAGAAATGTCTGTTTCACAGATTAGTATTCAGCTGAAAACAGCACTCAGTTACCTCTTGGGCTTTTAACTCTTTATTTGGCTCTATGTTTCTTATTTAATAAGACTGTTTAAAATTACATCTACACAGTGTGACATCTGTGTGTGGGATGGTAGGTTTTAGCTGATGCCTGGAGGCTGAGTGTTCCTGTGGAAAACATACAACCAAGTAAGATGCAGACCAAGCATTGGCTTGCAAAGGGTATAATTGTGATTGTGTAGCTATTTTAAGTGTGACTGAGGGGAGCTGGAGCTGGTGCAGTTTCTGGGACCTGACTGCTTAGAATGACAATTAAGATAGTTAAAATTGTGAATAAATGAGAGTCATTAGCAAATGGGGTTTTTCTTCTCATATAGAGGATACACAGATAAACCTAGATTCATCTGTGTGATCAGAACACTAGTGGCTATGTCAGAAATAATTGGCATTCTGTTATGTAGATGAGTAGTATAAAACTTTCTCAAAAGCCAACAAGTTGATTTGCCACTACTTCATTCAGTTACACAACTTTATTGGTAGCATATAAACACATATATTTATGTGGTAGCATATATTTAACACATTACTATAACATAAGGAAGTTGTAGTGAATAGTGATGAGGAATTGTGTGCTCACACCAGCCACTTTCCTGTATTCCAAAGCACATAGTGTGTAAAAATGTGTATCTTTGTGGTTTTGATCAATAATGATAGAATTGCAGGATCCATACAACTTTCATCTCAAGAGATCATTTTTCATACGATCTGCTTATGGTACTTCTATGTCTTTCAGACATCAACTAAAGCATTAAAGTAAATATTTAAAATCCATGTATCACTAGTAAAGCCTACATATGAGAGTACTATATTCAAATAGATACCAAGTGGAAAAAAAGCTGAAAGTATTTCTCTAAAGTTGGGAATGAGGTAAGTTTGCCCAATCTCTTACCTCTTACTTAATATAATATACTTGACTGTGTGGCTAGAATAATAATGAAAGAGGGAAAAAATGAACAGAAACAAATAAAAAAGGAAGAAGGTAAAGTATCCATGTTGAATATGATGTGGTCCTATGTATCAAAGACTCGAACGATTACTAGGAAATTCTTAGATCTGACCAGAGCTTCAAGCAAACAAACAGCATCATGTGACATGAACAAGGACTACTCTGCAGATAGGGCACCAGTGAGAGGCCAAAGAAATCATTGTGCCAAGTGTTTAGATTTTTGAGCCAATGCACTTCCTGGATTTACTTCCTGGGGCATGGGTGATTGACAGGCAGTCAAATCACCAAAAGCTTTGACCACAGCATGAAGATGACTCATGAAAGTGGCATCTCTGGAGTTCCCTGTATACCTTCCAAGCAGGTCACCTGAGAACCTCTTCCCCTGCAAACGGTCACTGTGTCTATAAACCTGGGGTGAGGCCTTGTGGAACTTGTCACTTTTTTGAATTTCCAGGGATTAAAAGTTTCATGAGCTTCCAGAGCCTTAATTCTTCTTACTTTCCTGAGTCTTAGGAGCCTGCCTTCCCCCTCCAGGAAAATGTGTTACAATCTGAAGGAAATAATTACATAAGTTATATACAAAGTCAAATGACAAAAGTAAATATATTTCTACATACTTGTAGTGAGTATGTTGAGGGGGAAGCTAAGAAAAAATCCCTTTCAAAATAGCTACCAGGTTGAGATGAATCCCCAGGGGAGTCCTTGCCCTGGAGGAGATGGAAATTAGGGGTGGGCTGAGGGGAGGGTGAGGGGTGGGAGGAGGGAGGACAGGGGAATCTGTGACTGATATGTAAAATTAAATCAAATTATAAAATTTTAAAAAAAAATAGCTTCCCAAATGCCTGGAGGAGCTGGAGCAGTGGCTCAGTGGTTAAGATTGCTTGCTGCTCTATCAGAAGACTTATGTTCAGATCCCAAGAACCACATCAGGCAGCTTACAAACACCTGTTGCTCCAGCTTCAAGGGATCCAATGACTCCTGACCTCCCATAGGCTCCTATGAACATAATGGTACAGACATATACATGAACACACACACACAAATAAAATATTTTTCAATGCCTATAAATACTTAAAAAGATAAATCTACAACAAAAACCTTAAAAACATTGGCAAAATAAATTGAAGACCATAGACTATGGAAAGATGCCCCATGGGTAGAATTATGTGAAAATCATTATAATTTCAAAGAAGTCTCCCTTAAACTCCAATGACTTTTTTCACATAAAAATAATCCTAAAATTTCATCTTCCTTCCAGTCAGAAGTACAAAAGACCCCCCAAAGTCAATGTAAGCCAGAAGAAAAAGAAGCAGTATTAGAAATTCCACAATACCTGATTTCAAATTATACTACAGAGTCGTAATAACAAACAGCGTGGTACTGTCACCAAAAATTCAGACATGGAGGTTGATGGAAGAGAACATAAGACCTGGAAATATACCTCCCTAAAACCATTGACCTTTTCTTTTCTAGATGCATTTATTTTATTTTTATGTTTATGAGTGTTTTGCCTGTATGTGTGTATATGTAACACGTGGATATCTGGAGCCTACAGAGGTCAGAAGAAGGTATTAGATCCACTGGAACTGGAGTTACAGATGGTTAGGAACACTATGTAGGGAATGAGAGTGAATGAGAGTTAAACCTGGGTTCTCTCCGAGGGCAATAAGTACTCTTAATCACTGAGCCATCCCTCCAAGTCCTAGCTGTCTGCCTTTTGACAATCATTCCAAAAACGTGTTAGAGAAGAGGTAGCGTCTTCAGCAAAGAGTTCTGGGAAAACTGGAAATCCACAAAAAGAATGAAACTACATCCCCACTTCCCATTCTGTGTGAAAATTAGATCAATACAGAACTAATACCTTAATGTAAGGTCTAAATTGTAGAAATGTCCAGCCAAAAACCAAGTGGCCATAAGGAGGACCATAGGGCACCTGCACACTCAGCAGGTCAGAGGTCAGTGTCCCTATCGATCCAGGACCCCAGCGCCCTGCAGCCATGAAGCCACAGAATGCATATCCATTAAAGAAGGCAGAGGCACAATCCTGTGATACCACACCCAACCTTAGCACTACCACATATGCCAAAGCCCTTACTTTCCCAGTACCCCAATCCCTGACAGATACAAAACTTCAAGGAGCCTACCTCCAACTGAAGTCAGAGATTGACATCTTTGCTGACCCTGACACCCACCCCCGGCCTCTGCAGAACCACTCAGATAGCCCAAACACTAGTCAGGTCAGGAGCTAGCCCTTATGATGACTCCAGTACATACCACCACCAACCACACATAACATTTCCCTGAACCTAAGGCCAGAGGCAATGCTAAGGCTAACCTTAGAACCGCACCACCTGAAAGCTGCAGAGTCACGGAGAGTAACTGCCTGCAGCTGAGGTAAGAGGCTAGCACCCCTCTGAACCAAGCAAACTTTCAAGTGCCACAGCATTGCATGGAGCAGCTACCCACTCTCGAGATCAGAGTGTTGTGTTCCTAATAAATGAAACACCCCTTTTCTGTCACAGGACTACGCAAAGCACCCACTCATTCCTGAAATCAGAGGGTTAGCATCTAGAATATATAAACAGCTCAAAAAAACTGGATGTCGAGAAAACAAATAACCCAATTTAAAAACGGGACATGTATTCAGAGAGTCCTCAAAAGATGAACTGTGAATGTATGAGAAATGCTTTCTAAAGTGTTCAACCTTCTTAGTTATCAGAAAAATACAAATTAAAATCACTTGGAGATTTCATCTTCCTGCAGCAAGAATTGCCAAGGCTAATAAAAACAGATGACAGAAGACGCTGATGAGAATTCAGAAAAGGGGGACGTTTGTCCACTGCTGGGGGGAAGGGCAAACTGGTACAGCCACCTGTAAGTCTGTGTGGAGGCTCCCCAAAACTCTGAAAGTAGATCTACGCCAAGATCCAGCTAACTGCTGGAAGATTCCACATCTTATTACAGAGACTCTTGCTCACCCATTGCTGATCTATTCACAATAGCCAGAAATTCGAAACAGCCTAGGTATCTATTTACTGATGAGTAGATAATGAAGATGTGGTACATTTGCACAATAGAATATTATTCAACTGTTGAGAAAAATGAAATTCGCAGGTAAACGGATAGATTGAGAAAAACTTATCCTCAGTGAGGTAACCCAGTTCCAGGAAGACAAACACTGCATGTTTTCTCTCATATATGGGTGCTTTTATGCTTCATATATGTTTCATTTAGAATACCCATGGAGTATAGGTCAAAGGAACCATGAAGAAAAGGGGATCATCCAAGAAAGGAACAATAGAAAATAATGTTATAAAGGAGGACTAAGTGGGAAGAGTGAGGGGAGGGCAGGACAAAGGAGGAAATGTGGGGCAGGACAAGGGATACTGAAAGCCTTTAGACGAGTCATGTGGAAATTGTGGAAACCTACTTTAGAAGCATCCTACAATATATACATGCATAAAAGGAATTTAAGTGAAATTACCATGTAATGGGGGGTTGCAAAATCCTAACTATACATCATATGCTACCTAATAAAACCCCAGTGCCAAGAATGTATTACATCTTTTTGAATTGTTTGCCAGTGGGGTCTCATACACACACTCCCAAACGTTACAGCCAATGCTATTGGTTACCCTCCACAACTTGACAGCAAGATCCTATTGCTAAAGATACCCGTGGTGGAGTGAATGAAGATGGCCCTCATATGCTTAAATATTTAAATGCTTAGAGAGTAGCACTATTTGAAAGGGTTAGGAAGTGTGGTTTTGCTGGAATAGGTGTAGGAAATGTGCACTGTGGGAGCGGGCATTAGGGTTACAAAAGCCAATCCCATCTCTTCCTGCTGCCTGTGAATCCAGATGTAGAGCTCTCAGTTACTACTCTAGCACCATGTCTGCCTGTG